ATTTTCAAATTTGTCCTAGCAATTGTATAACGATAAAATCTGTTATAAAACTGACTCAAGTTCATAATCAACTTATTCACAATTTCTTAAATCATGGCTGAATCAAATGAATTCGTTCCAATACTTTCTCTTAACTCTATCGACCAACCAGCTTTATTAAAACGTTGCAAAATTTTAATTGAAAAATTTATATCTTTATATAATAATCCACCAGATTTTATTGCTCGAGCACCAGGTCGAGTTAATCTTATTGGAGAACATATCGACTATGCAGGCTTTGGTGTTTTGCCAATGGCTATTAGTAATGATGTAATTATTGCAGTTAATTTTTCAAATAAAAAAGGTTACACAAACGTTAGATTATCCAATATTATTGATGATAAATATAAGCAAAAGTGTTGGGATTTTGAAGGAAAAGACAAAATTGTTGAAATTATTGTTGAAGAAGGTGTATCTGAATGGAGTAATTATTTCAAATGTGGTTATAAGGTAAGTTATTTCATTTTTTTTATAAATAGATTAATGATGTTAATTAAAAATTTTACAAATCTTTAATTTTATTATTATTATTACAGGGTATCCTTCAACATCTTGGAATTGACAATCCTGTTGGAATGGATTGTCTAGTGGACGGAATTGTACCAATAGGCGCTGGATTATCTAGTTCTTCATCATTTGTTTGTTGTGCTGCTTTGGCGACATGTCATGCTAATAATGTAACATTAACAAAAAAACAAATTACTGAGATATCTATTGAATGTGAAAGGTTCTCTGGAATGAACTCTGGAGGGTAGGTCCTTTATCCTATCGTAATAAAAAAAAACATTCCTATCTAACCTATCTAACTTATTAATTTCATTTTATTTTGTTTTTAAAAAAGAATGGATCAAACTGCCTCAATATTTTCACAGTCTGGACACGCTCTCTATGTTGAATTTTTGCCAACACTTAATGCCACTCCAACTAAATTACCAACAACTAATCCACCAATCACATTCGTTGTGGCCAATTCTCTTGTTAAGGCTGACAAAGTTATCACTGCTCCAATTCATTACAATCTACGTGTTGTGGAAACTAAACTTGCAGCTTATCATTTAGGTCAATTATTATTCGGAAAAGATTGTGAAAATTTAAAACATGTTTGTGATTTATATTCAAATTCTACAAAGGTAACAATCGATAAACTAGAAAAACTTTCTGATTACGTTGATCAAGTTTACGAAAAGAATCAAGAGGGTTACACTTTAGAGGAATTAACAATTATGTTGAAACTATCCTCAACTGAAATTTATGATAAGTTCATACCAAACTTTCCTGTTCGTGCTGAAAGGTTTCATTTATATAAACGTTCAAAACACGTTTTTGAGGAATCCTGTAGAGTTTTAAAATTTTATGAGGTTTGTACCTCTGGTAGTAGTATGAATGATGTTGAGATATTTGAAAGTTTAGGTAATTTAATGAATCAGAGCCATCAAAGTTGTAAAGAATTATTTGATTGTTCTTGTGATGAATTAAATGATTTAGTGAGAATCTGTTTGGGTGGTGGTGCTTTGGGAAGTAGACTCACGGGTGCAGGTTGGGGTGGTAAGTTTTTTTTAGAAATATATATATTTTTTATAAATCTAATAACGAATTTCTAAAATATATAGGTTGCACAG